AGGGGAGATGATGATGGTGTATTATTGTTTGGAAGGGGAATCCCCTTCCATAAGGACTTTAGGCACCAAGTCCTTTTCCAGGGTTACTTCCCTTCTTTTTTTTAATGTCACTGGGAACAACTTGACAGTCACTGGCCCTCTGTCGCACCAAAAATCTGTCCATAGAGATCTGTACCTGGCGTTCCTTAAAGATTTTCCTAAAATGAGCCACAACATTGTCATTGTAAAAGTCACCAGCACGGCTTGCAATAGCTGTGTCAGGGTGATTATTTTATTTTATTAACACATCGGCCAATTCCCACCAAGGCAGGGTGGGCCGAAAAAGAAAAACTTTCATCATCATTAACTCCATCACTGTCTTGCCAGAGGGGTGCTTTATGCTACAGTTATAAAACTGAAACATTAACACCCCTCCTTCAGAGTGTAGACACTGTACTTCCCATCTCCAGGACTCAAGTCCAGCCTGCCAGTTTCCTTGAATCCCTTCATGTTACTTTGCTCACACTCCAACAGCACATCAAGTATTAAAAACCTTTTGTCTCCATTCACTCCTATCAAATGCACTCATGCCTGCTGGAAGTCCAAGCCCCTCACAAACAAAACGTCCTTTACCCCCTCCCTCCAACCTTTTCTAGGCTTACCCCTACCCCGCTTTCCTTCCACTACAGATTTATACACTCACGAAGTCATTTTGTTTTGTTCCATTCTCTCTACATGTCCAAACCACCTCAACAACCCCTCCTCAGCCCTCTGGACAATAGTTTTGGTAATCCCACACCTTCTCCTAATTTCCAAACTACGAATTCTTTGCATTATATTCACACCCCACATTGCCCTCAGACATGACATCTCCACTGCCTCCAGCCTTCTCCTCGTTGCAGCATTCATCACCCATGCTTCACACCCATACAAGAGTGTTGGTACAACTATACTCTCATACATTCCCCTCTTTGCTACCACAAAGTTATCTGCCTCCACAGACTCTTAAGTGCACCGCTCACCCTTTTCCCATCATCAATTCTATGATTCACCTCCTTTTTCATAGACCCATCTGCTGACACATCCACTCCTAAATATCTGAATACATTCACTTCCTCCATACTCTCTCCCTCCAATCTGATATCCAATCTTTCGTCACCTAATCTGGGTGGGTGGATAAAAGGTTGATGGGTAGGCATCAGGATGTACATGTTTAAAGAGGGGCAACTGATATATTGGATCATTATTTAGTTGTAGCTACAGTTAGAGTAAGAGGTAGATAGGACAAAAGGAAAATGGCAACAGCAAGTAAGAGAGGTGAAAGTGTATAAACTAAGGGAGGAGGAAGTTACGGTGAAATATAAGCAACTATTGGGAGAAAGGTGGGCTAGAGTAAGTTTGAGTAGTGGGGGGGGGGAGGTTTTAGAGGGTTAGGATAGTTTAAAAAATGCAGTATTAGAATGTGGGGCAGAAGTTTGTGGTTATAGGAGGGTGGGTGCAGGAGAAAAGAGGAGTGATTGGTGGAATGATGAAGTAAAGGGTGTGATAAAAGAGAAAAAGGTAGCTTATGAGAGGTTTTTACAAAGCAGAAGTGTTATAAAAGGAGAAAAGTATATAGGGAATAAAAGAAAGATTAAGAAAGTGGTGAGAGAGTGCAAAAGGAGAGCAGATGATAGAGTGGGAGAGGCACTGTCAAGAAACTTTGATGAAAAGAAGATAAAATTTTAGAGTGAGGAACAAGAAAGCCTAGGGAATGAATGGATTTGTCAGTTACCGAGTAGGGGAGTTAGTTGATGGGGAACTGGAGGTATTGGGTAGATGGCAGGAATATTTTGACGAACTTTTAAATGTCGATGAAGAAAGGGAGGCAGTAATTTCATGTACTGGCCAGGGAGGTATACCATCTTTTAGGAGTGAAGAAGAGCAGGATGCGAGTGTGGGGGAGGTGCGTGAGGCATTATGTAGAATGAAAGGGGGTAAAGCAGCTGGAACTGATGGGATCATGACAGAAATGTTAAAAGCAGGGGGGAATATAATGTTGGGGTGGTTGGTATTTTTGTTTAATAAATGAATGAAAGAGGGGAAGGTACTACTTAGGGATTGGCAGAGAGCATGTATAGCTCCTTTATATAAAGGGAAGGGGAACAAGATAGTAAAAATTATAGGGGAATAATTTTACCGAATATACCAGGAAATGTGTACAGTAGGGTTATTATTGAAAGAATTAGAGGTAAAACAGAGAGCAGGATTGCAGATGAGTAAGGGGGGTTCAGAGCGGGTAGGGGATGTGTAGATCAAGTGTTTACATTGAAGCATATATGTGAACAATATTTAGATAAAGGTAGGGAAGTTTTTATTGCATTTATGGATTTAGAAAAGGCATATGATAGAGTGAATAGGGAAGCAATGTGGCAGATGTTGCAAGTATATGGAATAGGTGGTAAGTTACTAAATGCTGTTAAGAGTTTTTATGAGGATAGTGAGGCTCAGGTTAGGGTGTGTAGAAGAGAGGGTAAAAGTAGGTCTTAGACAGGGATGTATAATGTCACCATGGTTGTTTAATATATTTATAGATGGGGTCGTAAAAGAAGTAAATGCTAAGGTGTTGGGGAGAGGGGTGGGATTAAATTATGGGGAATCAAATGCAAAATGGGAGTTGACACAGTTACATTTTGCTGATGATACTGTGCTTATGGGAGATTCTAAAGAAAAGTTGCAAAGGTTAGTGGATGAGTTTGGGAGTGTGTGTAAAGGTAGAAAGTTGAAAGTGAACATAGTTAAGAGTAAGGTCATGAGGGTATCAAATGATTTTGATAAAGAATAATTGGATATTACATTGGAGAGAAGGAATGGAAGAAGTGAATGTTTTCCGATATTTGGGAGTTGACGTGTCAGCGGATGGGTTTATGAAGGATGAGGTTAAGCGTAGAATTGATGAAGGAAAAACAGTGAGTGGCGCGTTGAGGTATCTGTGGAGAAAAAAAATGTTACCCATGGAGGCAAAGAAGGGAATGTATAAAAGTATAGTGGTACCAACATTCTTATATGGGTGCGACGCTTGGGTTGCAAATGCTGCAGCGAGGAGGCAGCTGGAGGCAGTGGAGATGTCCTGTCTAAAGGGCAATGTGTGGTGTAAATATTATGCAGAGAATTCAGAGTGGAAATTAGGAGAAGGTGTGGAGTTAATAAGAGTATTAGTCAGAGGGCTGAAGAGGGGTTGTTGAGGTGGTTTGGTCATTTAGAGAGAATGGATCAAAGTAGAATGACTTGGAGAGCACATAAATCTGTAGGGAAAGGAAGGCAGGGTAGGGGTCATCCTCGAAAAGGTTGGAGGGAGGGGGTATGTGTGTGAGGGGCTTGGACTTCCAGCAAGCATGTGTGAGCGTGTTAGATAGGAGTGACTGGAGATGAATGGTTTTTGGGCCCTGACGAGCTGTTGGTGTGAGCAGGATAATATTTAGTGAAGGGATTCAGGGAAACCAGTTATTTTTATATAGCCAGACTTGAGTCCTGGAAATGGGAAGTACAATGCCTGCACTTTAAAGGAGGGGTCTGGGATATTGACATTTTGGACGGATATGTTATACATCTTTATATATGCTTCTAAACTGTTGTATCTAGGTGCCTCTGCAAAGACTGATTATGTGTGAGTGAGATGAAAGGGTAGGCAGGCAGGCTGGCTGGCTGGCTGGCTGGCTGGCTGGCTGGCTGACTCTGGCTGGTTGGCAGGCTTGGGCTGGTTGGCTGGTTGGCTGGCTGGCTGGCTGGCTGGCTTGGGCTGGCTGACTCTGGCTGGCTGGCTGACTTGGGCTGGCTGGCTGGCTGGCTTGGGCTGGCTGGCTGGCTGTCTGTCTGTCTTTGTTCAGAGCCTTTCATGAACCTGATAGTCAGCTAGACTTTCAAACAGTTGTGACAAGTTGCAGAACTGTCACATCTGCAGAATTGGAAAGATACAACTGTGGCCAAAATGTGTACTGCCACATTCATGCTTACGCTACATAGCTACAAGCACAGTGTAGCACTGACTTTTTTGGGTTATCCTAGGTAATTTACACTATGTATGACAACTATACTTGTGCCTAACTTACTTAGTCCAGGATTCTGTTCAAAGGACACCTGTCCCTCAAGAAATATATAGCAGGCAAAGATAATTGCTTGAATGACAGAACAGAATCAAGGACTATGCTTATTTAGGCACAGGTACACGTAAGTAATCATACATAGTGTGAATTACCTAGGATAACCCAAACAAGTCACGAGTGCTATACTGTGTTTGTTTATACAAGGCATAAGCATTACTGCTGCAAGTAATACACATTTCGGCCACAGCTGTATCTTCCCACTTTCTCAGACGTAAAAATTCTACAACATGTGTAATACCCGTTTGACTAGTTTACAATCCACTGGTCCTTAAGTACGTGTCCTATACGAGTCATGTGTGTTCAGAATTAACTTGGTTGATTCCTGCATACCAGTCACAACGTGCAGTATTTACATACGCTGCTATGTATGATAATTTAACTGTAATTGTGTTTGTGTACCTGAATAAACTGTTACTGACTCTACTGTCTTCACTGACCATACCAACTGATTTCACTGACAAACTTACTGACTTGGCTTCCTCATTTGGCTGGACTGACCTACTGACTTGACTATCATCCACCTCAGCCCAATAGGACCACAACAAACCTCTCCACTCCCTTCCCAATCACCCACAATTTAAGATAAACATTATTTCTGTGGCATTTGTAGTTTTAAGCAATAGAAAAAAAATACCTAAATCAATGAACAACAATTACATTTTTTATTTTGTAAGATTTGGAGACCTAAAAAAGAAAGTTATTCAATTTTTTGGGGGGATCCTAGGATTGTAAACCTATTTTTCCCACAAGTTCTTCAGTTCCTTTAAAATGGATTCATCTTACACTGAATTTTCAGGAATGTAACTACCGTAGGTAATCAATGGTCTATTAATCATGGGTATATTAACTACAATAACTGGTGATAACACACAGACTTACAGTTAACTTCTTCAGAGGATTTTCACCAACGATCCTCATAACTTTCTCCATGATGCTGAAGCCACAGTCTCCCAGGATGATGGGGACAGCTGTGGTACTTGTCTCTGTGATCATCATGTCCAGAGCCTTCTTGATAGTCTCCTGCACCTGTCATCACCAACACAAACATTAATGATGAATGTCAGCAACAATCTAGACCTTGAAAACCACTAATCTACATTTGAACACTTCTGTTGAGGGTTCAAGTCTTATATCTTAGAATGTAAAGGGTGTGAGTGACATTCTAACACTTAATAGAATATCCCCTACACCTTCCTACCACCCTTCCTAGGATATCCCCTACACCTTCCTTCCACCCTTCCTAGAATATCCCCTACACCTTCCTTCCACCCTTCCTAGAATATCCCCTACACCTTCCTACCAAAAGTTCAAAATTTGGTCGAAAACTCACGGAATTACGCTCCCGTAAAGTTAGCGGTTTCGGCGACATATGCGTATCGACGATTTCGCCAGCTGAGCCCTGTTTTCAGCCAATTCCGTTGTTCCAGTTGACCAAACTCATAGCTATTCCTTTAGAACTCCATTTTTTCTATCAGTTAAGTACAAGAAACCGCCCATTTACCGATTTGAACTACCCAATATAGTGGTCAGAAATTGGCAATTTGGCCAATTTCATGCAAATTAAAAAAGATGCCAATTTCAAAATAGGGTCCAGAATAAACAATGTAGACATTCTTGGCACTAAAATAACATATCCTCTGTTCATTAGTCATCTCTAGGCCCCTCTTATATTATTATTATTGCTTTCTATTTTGATTTTTTATTTATACAAAAAAAAATACAAAATTTACTGTTATGCAGACTACTGCATTATTGTAAAAATGGTATAAATAATATCAGTGCACTAGTGAAAGAATATTAGACTCCCCAGTTGACGTGTATTGGACATGTGGTGTGATTTGTTTACTCCTGAACATTGGTAAAAATTGAACATTTCCGCTACTTTGAGCTCGGTTTCAAGGTCGTTTTCACCGTCAAAGTAATGAAAATCATCTCTATTTCTGTAATGTGTTTTCCATTTTATCACCTAAGACCATGAAAACACGAATACAGTGATAAATACTATATAAAAATACACCTCAAAGTCGGGGTTTTAATCCAAAAAAACGATTAGTTTTTTTTTTTCTCATTACGCACTGTGTGCTGCAGGATTTTTTTTGTGGTGCACACTGACCACACAGACCCATTCTCTCACATGTGAGCCTACCAGCTTTCTCCCGCTTGATTTGAAGCCGCTAGAATTATTGAGTATATATACGTCAGAAACAGTGGCGCATAAGACGTATTTATACAGCGTAAACAGTCAAAGGGTTAATAGGAAAAAAGAGCATATGATACCCAGGCATCCCCCATTATTTTAATATGGTGCACAGTGAGTGCTCGCACCCATTCTCACATGTCTAGGTGACTCAGGCTTATCGTGGCAATGTTAAATGTAGGACACATAAAACATATATATACACGTTTGGGGCACTAGCGGTAAAAATGTATATATAGGTCTGGACCGTTTACGGGTTAATTAAAACGTGGACTTTGAGGTGTATTTTCATATAGCATTTATCATTGTATTCTTGTTTTCATGGTCTCACGGGATAAAATGGAAAACATATTGCAGAAATAGAGATGATTTTGATTAGTTTCACAATGAAAACGACCTTGAAATTGGGCTCAAAGTAGCGGAAATGTTCGATTTTTACCAATATTCAAGAGAAAGCAAATCACACCACACGTCTAATATTCTTTCACTAGTGCACTGATATTATTTAAACCATTTTTACAATAATGCAGTAGTCTGCATAACAGTAAATTTTCTATTTTTTTGTATGAAAAAAAATCAAAATTGAAAGCAATAATAATATAAGAGGGGCCTAGAGACGTGACTAATGAACAGAGGATATGTTATTTTAGTGCCAAGAATGTCTACATTGTTTATTCTGGACCCTATTTTGAAATTGGCATCTTTTTTAATTTGCATGAAATTGGTCAAATTGCCAATTTCTTACCACTTTATTGGGTAGTTCAGATTGGTAAATGGGCGGTTTCTTGTCCTCAACTGATAGAAAAAATGGAGTTCTAAAGGAATAGCTATGAGTTAGGTCAACTGGAACAACGGAACTGGCCAAAAACAGGGCTCAAAGCCGGTGAAATTGCCGATGCGTATATATCGCCGAGACCGCTAACTTTGTGGGAGTGTAATTCCATGAGGTTTCAACCAAATACCATACTTTTGGTGTCATTACCATCGGGAAAAAATTTTGCGACATAGAATGACAGTTTCAGAAAGGGGCTTGTGACAGTCAAAGGGTTAAGCATCCCAGATTTCCCTTTCACAATTTATTACTTGTTAATAAGATACTTACTCTTTAATAATTTCTGTATTACTATTTATTCCTACTTAAGCACTGTTATAATTCTTCTATAATCTTACCTAATTTTCCCTCTGCACCTAAACTATAAATAACAAACTAGTGTATCCTCCTACAACACTTCAGTGCAGTTCCTTGTACCATCGTCCACTAGCTAGTATCAACTACCTCAAATATTTCTTTAGTGATATTAATTGCTCAAACTTTGTTATAAGGCAAATCTTACTCTCAGATTAATTTCATATCAGAGTCAATCTATTTAAACATTGTTTTTTTACCACTACTTAATTTAGTCCCTTTATATACCAGTACATTGTACTGCCCTTTATTCAGTAATTGCTATACTCATAGTTCTAACAACAATTAAAGAGCAACTTTCTGGAGATCTAATATTTTTTTCCCTCTTGACCATATAGTGACATTTATTAAAATACTCCAGGTGCTACCGACTACCTCAGGTGCTACCGACTACCTCAGGTGCTACTGACTACCTCAGGTGCTACTGACTACCTCAGGTGCTACTGACTACCTCAGGTGCTACTGACTACCTCAGGTGCTACTGACTACCTCAGGTGCTATTGATTTTATTTTAATACATCCTTGTTTTTTAATACATTCTTTTATTATATTTACTAGCTCCTTTATTCTAGTTGTAAATATCTACTGTAGTTCATAAACTAACATTTGATGAAATAATTAAGGTGCTATAAGATGCTTAAGTGTATAACTGAATTATCTGTTCTGTAATAGTCCCTTTTTCTTTCAAATTTTTATAAGTTTCAGAATAATTACAGAGTCTTATTCATAAATCTAGGTGCTACTGACTACTTCAGGTGCTACTGATTTTTGTTTTAAAAACTAGGAAACATGATTACTGATCCACACATGAATAAAGACCACCTACTACTAACAGGAGATTTCAACAAACATACTACACGACCAGGACCCACAAGTAACCGAATTCACAAACACAATGAGTAACTGCCTGTTGCTACCAGCAATATCTAAACCTACAAGACTCACCGAGACAAGCATCTCATAAATAGACCACATCTGGACAAACACAATATCCCCTTTAAAATCAGGCATAATCACAGACAACACTACAGACCACTACCTAACCTTTCTCATAACTAATCTGGGCAAACTGCCACAAGACATTACTAAGGTAACCTTCAGACTACATAACAAGACAGCAGTTAACTTTATAGCAGCTATGAATAACATCGATTGGCAAAAGGAGCTCGAAACATATACAGATATGAATGAATGTATAAATAATTTTCTAAAAAAAGCCCAAAGCCTCTATAACAAACATTGCCCCAAAAAACTAAACAGCTCACAGCAAAGAGACTGAAAAATCCCTGGCTAACACCAAGCATCCTCAAATACATTAACACAAAACACAAATATGAAAAACTGTATAGAATGGGTCAAATAACTAGAGAACAGTCTAAACGTTACTCGTCAGCACTTATCAGCCTGATAAGATGATCTAAAAATTGTATTATGAAAATAGATTACATAACATCAAAGGTGATATTAAAAAAAAACTAGAAAACACTATCTGAAATTCTTGGAAATAAAAAGTTATCCAAAAACAAAAACTAACAAAATCAGATGAACCCCAACTCACACCTACTGAAACAGCAAACAGACTCAATGTTTTCTTCTCCACCATAGATAAAAATCTAGCGAACACAATACCAAGCACAAACACCCGTCCATCAGACTACCTCATAGGTACCTACCCAAATATGCTATTCCTAGCTCCAACCAACCCCATAGAAGTTAAGCTCATCATAAGCACCCTTAAAAACAAGGCAGGAGACAAACAGCTTGCCTGCTTTTATGTACAAAAAAGCTTCTCAAGTATTGTCACCAATTATTGCAACACTAACAAATCCATTGAATCGGCTACCTTCCCAACAATCCTCAAAATAGTGAGGGTCACTCCGATCCACAAAGGATGCGCGTACCACTCTTAAGAGCATGAAAGGAAATATCTCTACCAACATGGCGTAGGAGCGCTTTGCCAATACTATGGTCGGAAAGATAGGCAGTAGAAGAAGTCTGTCTTAAATTAAAGAATTTAGTCCATTGTGTGGTCTGAAACAGTGTGGAGAGGGAGTGCATGACGTGTTTGTCTTTTCCGAGTAGAATGGGAAGGTAACGAAGTAACATTGTCAGGAGATTGTCGTTGGCATTTAGAAGTGGGACCAGAGTCGGTCCAACGTGGGACGGGCTGGCAATTCGAAAATCACTGCACCATAGAGGGAGAGGCCGGAAGCATAGTCAAAGGAGAGCGGAGGTCAGACAAATCGAAGGAGTCAGTCAAAACCCCAGCACCTGAAGCGGGTGACGAAACACCAGCAAGAGGTACAAGGGCCTTAGGAATGTCCGAAGAGTGGCCAAAAGACGAGGCAAGGTCAGAACGGGGTGCAGTAACAGTAAGGGGCCCGGGGGTAGTGGGGTCATGGATTGGGTACTCCATTGTTAGGTTACTTCTTTCTTTTTGTTTTTAAGAAAAAAAAATAAAAAATAAAAAAAAAAAGAATAAAAAAAGGGGGGACCAGGGAGGGATAGTTCCTAGGAGGAATGAAAGGGCCAGAAATCTCCCTCCGTGCCCAAGAGGACCTCAGCACCGCAAGTAGTGCAGATGCAGCATGGAACCCGTGCCATACCCTACCCTTCATGCCAGTAAACCAGCAATCCAGGATA